TCTGACATTCTTTTTTTTTTTTTTTTGGTCCTGGGGATTGAACCCAGGGCTTTGTGCATGTGAGGCAGGCACTTCACCAACTGAGCTATATGCCCAGCCCTCATTCTTTTTTTAATGTAGTTAGCTTTTAATCTTTTTTTAGTTGTATATGGACACAATGCCTTTATTTTTTTCATTTATTTTATGTGGTGCTGAGGATCGAACCTAGTGCCTCACATGTGCTAGGCAAGTGCTCTGCCATTGAGCTACAACCCCAGCCCCCTGATGTTCATTCTTAATGATTCCCCAGGATGAATTATTTGATGTACAGCATGAGGTACAACTACTAGTGAAATTATCTAACTTTTCGAGAATATTTGTACATTCTCTCTCCTGTGTGACTTACCTGATGTTTATTCAGGGTTGACTTACTACTGAAGGCTTTCCCACAGTCTCTGTATTCAAAAGGTTTCTCACCCATGTGAGTTCTGTGATAGGCAAGGAGAACTGATTTCCACATGGAAGGCTTTCCCACATTCCCTACATTTGTAGGGTTTTCCTCCTGTATAAATCCCCTGACATCTAATGACAGTCGACTTCCTACTGATGTCTTTCCCAAAGTCACTGCATTCATAGGGTCTCTCTCCTATATGAATTCTCTGTTGTTTAATCAGTGGTGACTTCTCACAGAATATTCCTACATTCATTGCATTTATAGGGTTTCTCTCCTGTATGAATTCTCTAATAGACAATAGGGTTGCCTCTCACTGAAAGCTTTCCCACATCTTCTTCATTTGTAGGGTTTCCCTCCTGTATGATTTCAGTGATGGCCAAACAGATGTGATTTTGCACTAACAGTCTTCCTACATGTGCTGCATTGATAGGGTTTTTCTTTTGGGTGAATTTTCTGATGAACAGAGAGGTGTGACTTTCTCTTGAAGTTTTCCCCACATCTACTGCACTCACAAGGTTTCTCTTTTCTATTAGTATTCTGATGTTTAATGGTGATGGGCTTCTCATCAAAGGTTTTCCTATACTTACTGCACTTAGGTTTCTCATCTGTGTGAGACATTTGATGTATAATGCTGGACTTAGCATGCTTGTCTAATATGTGTTCTTTCATGTCTAATAAGATGATAAGAACTCTTAAAGGCTTCTGCACATTCACCATATACAAATGGTCTCTTTCCTATGTGAGTTTGCTCATGTTTAATAAAAGTTGCCTTCTGGATAAAGGCTTTCCCATATCCACTGCATTCATAGGGTTTCTCTCCTGAATGAGTTCTCGGGTGTGTTGTGAGGCCTATCTTCTGACTGAAGGCTTTTGCAAACTCAAAGCATTAATAAAGTTTCTCTCCAGTGTGAATTCTTTTTTAAAAAATTTTTCTTAGTTATACATGGACACAATGTCTTTATTTTATTTATTTATTTTTATGTGGTGCTGAGGATCAAACCCGGTGCCTCATAGGTGCAAGGCAAGCACTCTGCCACTGAGCCACAATCCCAACCCCTCCAGTGTGAATTCTTTGATGGAAAACAAGGTTGGTTTTTCTGGATAAACACTCTACTATATTCAGTACATTCATAGAATTTCTCCCCAGTTTGAATTCTCTGGCTTTTATTTTATTGCTACTGGTGGGGGGCTTTTCCTTGTTGATTGGATTCAACAGATTTCTCTGCAGGTTAGGATTTATCAAGATTAGAAGGGAGACATAATTTCCAATTTACCTTACATCTGTAATTTATCCTTCTTACAAAGCTTCTATTTTTAAATTTATTTTTTATTTGTTCTTTTTAGATATGCATGACAGTAGAGTATATTTTAACATATTATACACAATTGGAGTATATCTTATTCTAATAAGGATCCCAGTCTTGTGGTTGTACATGATGTGGAATTACACTGGTGGTGTATTTATATATGAACATAGGAAAGCTATGTCAGACTCATTTCACTGTCTCTCCTATTCCCATTTCCCTCCCTTCCCTTCGTTCCGCTTTTCTAATCCAATGAACTTCTACTCTTCCCCTCCCTCCTTTTTGTATGTTAGCATCAGAGAGAACATTTGACTAAGACCATTTATATTATTTTTTTTTGGTGGTACTGGGGATTGAACCCAGGGCCTTGTGCATGTGAGGCAAGCACTCTACGAACTGAGCTATATATAGGGCTGGGGATCCAGCCCTATATTGCGTTTTAAACATCTTCTCCATGAATATTTAGGGTATCTTTGTGTTATAGAAACAAAGAATTTGCTTAGATAAATGATTTTTCTGTATGTTCTGCATTCTTGAACATTTTCATCTTTCAGTGTTTCCTGGTCTATGAATGCAGCTTGCCACAGAGGTCTGTATTGACTTTCCTTGTAGTTATCTATCTGCTCATCAACTTCCCAGAATTCTAGGAGAAAAATGTGATGAATCATTAAAATTTTACTACAATATATGGGATAACATGGATCTCTAAATACCCTGTGGTAAATTCTTATCAATATTATGATCATATGGATGGATCCTCCCCATGTCCACCACCCCATGTTTCCAATTGCAAATGTAAAGAATGCTACCATGAATTCTAAAAAATAATGTAATATGCAGCCAAGCACAAAGCCAAGAAAAGTATTATGTGTCAAAAATGAAGTGGTGGGAGTGATGGGAATTTAGCTTAATGGTAGAGCACTTGGCTATCATACAGAAGGTCCTGGGTACTATCCTTACCACCCATAAAAAATTGAAGTGAGAATGTACAATGATGGGGTAAACTGAAAGTGAAGCTTGGAGCCTTGCATAGGAATCCAGACCTCAGGGCACAAGTGTTCAAGAAAGGAGAACCTATTTTTTGCTTCAAGCTGGCATAACAAGGGGCCTGCATGTTTATTAAATACAAACTAGAAACACTCCTTGCTGGCCAAAGAAATTGTTAAGAATGGTGTTAGATAAAAGAAATCAGAAGCCTAGTTCTGTGATTCAATCTGCATGATTACAAGTGTAGTACAAGAGCCCATAACGAAAAATTAACATAAAATTGGTCTTGTTATTAGTAGATTCACAGCAATGGAAAACTTTCCAAAAAATATTTCCCATGTTTTTTATAGCTTAAGGCTCACAGAACATCTATGGAAAACCAAATCAAACATGTAAAAATAATTTAGACCTTACAAGGAAATGAATCATCAATAAAGAGAATCAACAGATACATTAAAAGATTCTCCCATTTCTAGAACAATCTAGATAATGTAACAATCTAGATTTTAAAGTAAATATATTCCAAATATCACCAGGTGTGGTAATGCATACCTGTAATCCCAGCAACCTAGGATGCTGAACCGAGAGGATTGCAAATTTGAGGCCAACCTCACCCAACTTAGCGAGACCATGTCTCCAAAATATTTTTAAAAAAACAAAAAAACAAAACTAGGATTGCAACTCAGTGATAAAGCTCCCCTGGCTTCAATCCCTAGCAGCCCCCCAAAATAGATAAAAATAAATTAAAATATTCTAAATATACAAAGAGTTAAGAACTAGACTGTGGGGGAAAACTTGGATACAAGCTAGGATACAAATATGAATATAAATTTTTTTAAAACTCTAAATAGAGAGGTTGAACAGTACACTATAAAGATAAATTGAATAAGTTAAATGACGGATTATGGGAAACCACCCAGGATATAGCATAAAAGCTTAATGAAATGGAAACATAAGGGAAATAGAAATAATTAGAAGCTCCAACATAAGCTTATTAAGAGATCCAAGTGGAAAGGAAAAGGAAAAGGGAGTGGGGCTGTAGGCCAAGAAAAAGATTAATATAGCAGCCCTGATACTGTTCTCCTTACAAAGGCCAGCCTACAAGTTGGCCCTGGGCTGACATCTGGGAATTTGGATTTCAGGAATGTTCTCATAATTTCCTGACTGGTAAGCGTGGTTTTCTATGCCTCCACTGTTTATACAAACACTGTGTTTTATGCTGAACACCTGTTTTCCTTTTGGGAGTCTGGAATTTTGGTATATGCTAAGCAGTTTGTCTGTATGACCAGCCTCCAATAAAAACCAAAGTTTCTGAGTCTCTAATGGTCTCTCCTGGGCATAATAAACATCACACCTATGTTGCTGCATTTTTGATGCTGGGTGAAGAGTGCTCTGTAAGCCCCCTCATGGGAGGGTGACAGCATAAGGGAGCCTGCAAATGGATTCTTCCAGACTCTGCCTGTGTTGTTCCCCTTATAATGTGGTTGTATATTCTTGGCATCACTACAATAAACTTATCTGTGAATACAACTATATGCTGTGTCCCATAATTTTTTCTAGAAAATCTCAGAATATGGGAGTAGTCTTGGGGATCGCTGACCCAGGATATATTTGAAGAGGCAAAGACATAGTTTTCTAGAGTGAAAGGAAGGCATGAATCTTACACCCACAGTCCTCAGTGTGGCAAATAAAAGTAAATCCTCACTCACACAAAGTTGAGTGCAACCACAAGACTTAAAAATCAGAAAGAAAAATTTAAAAGCTTCCATGGAGAAAAATTTAAATCCCTTATAAACAATTATATCAATGTCAGATATTTAAAAATATATATTTTTAGTTGTAGATGGACATAATAACTTTTATTTTACTTATTTATTTTATGTGGTACTGAGGATTGAACTCAGTGCCTCACACATGCTAGGTGATTGCTTTACCACTGAGCTCCAGCCCCAGCCCATTTTTGTCAGTCTTTTTGGGAAAAAATAAAAAGAAGCTAGAAGTTTAATGAATAATATCTTCAAAGTTCTGACAGAAGCTGTCATCTTAGAACCCTGTGCCCAGATAAATTATTGTAAAGAAAGATGACAAAACCAAGACATTTTTGGACAATAAAGCAGATAATTTATCATAAATAAAGCCTGGCTAAAGATAATGCTTAGTACTTGAATCATTCAGAAGGATAATGACTCAAGGGGCAAGAGGCAGAGGGTAAAGAAAATCCATCTAAGGCAAGAAAAAAAGGTCATGAAAAAGCTGGCTATATAAATAATACAATAAAATACGAAAATAGTAACGTCAGAGTAAATGTATGTGTGTGTGTGTGTGTGTGTGTGTGTGTGTGTGTATTCAACTAAAAAGTACAACCTTACTTAAGGTTATACAAAAGCAAACTAAAACTTTGATAAATTTGATTACATTGCAATTAAGACTTATTTTCAAAACAACTCCATAAACAGCCTAGACTAAGAAAAGGTTGTTGAGGGGCTGGGGTTGTAGCTCAGTGGTAGAGCACTTGCCTAGCATGTGTGAGGCCCTGGGTTCCATCCCCAGCACCACATAAAACTAAATAAGCAAAATAAAGGTATTGTGTCCATCTACAACTAAAAATATATTTTTAAATAGGCTATTGACTATACGCAAAATTGAACTCTACAATATACAAAGAATATATACAAAGCAAAAAGAAAAGATAAACAGCCCAACAAAAACATAGACAAAGGATATAAACAGGCAGGCCTTAGAAGAGGAAATCTAACTAGTTAATAACATATGAAATGTTAGATTTCCTAGTAATCAAGGAAATAAAAATTATAAGAAGATACCAATTTATACTAACTAAAGGACCAAAATTTAAAGCATCTACAATTCTCTCCTGTTTCCTGCAGTAAGTTCTAGTTCTATCATGCAGCCCTGGCCTAAATCACATGCTTTCTGTGCCATTTGTTTTGCCACCTAAGGCTACAGAGCTTTGCATTTTAACATTGATGCTTCCTATTCAAAAGTTGAAGTTTTAGATTTTTCAGGAAGCTACATCTGCCCACCAGGCTACAATCCATGCTCTAAGGGAGTTGATTTCATATGATGGTAAAATCTACTCTTTTTGCTTCAAAGGCTGGCAATAAATGATAAGTACTTTTCCAGTCCAGAGGCCTTTTGTAGGATTTAAAAGGAGTAGATAAAAACTGCTTAATGTCCTTCAGCTGAAATATACCCCTTAAAAGTATGAGTGTTAAACCAGGCATGGTGGTACATGCTCATAATCCCAGCAGCTCAGGAGGCTGAGGCAGGAGGATCACAAGTCCAAAACCAGCCTCAGCAATGTAGCGAGGCCCTAAGCATCTTAGTGAGCCCCTGTCTCCAAATAAAATGTAAAAAGGTATGGGGATGTGGCTCACTGGTTAAGCAGCCCCTGGGTTCAATACATGGTACAAAAAAAGAAAAGTATGTGTATTAAGTAAGGTTGAATAATCTAAGGAAAAAATTTCTTTGAACAATCATTGCAAAGCTGTGATATTTTTCTCTCCCAAAATAGGCGAGATAAATGTATGTTCATCCCACCCTAATCTAGTAAGAAGGACTTCAGGGAGATTACTTGCTTGACATATGTCCATTAGCATTTAGGGGACACAGGGCATTTGGCACTTAACTTCCACCTACAAAAATTGTACAGTTGACAGATTGTGGCATCATATTGAAAGGGTAAAGTTTCTAAGCTGCAAAGCCTGAGTTAAAATGTAAAGGACCAGGCATTGTAAAGCTGCTTCTAAGCTGCAAAGCCTGAGTTGAAATGTAAAGGACTAGGTATTGTAAAGTTTCTGTACTGCACACAGAACCTGAAATTCCTGAGGCAGTTAAGACAATGCCCCACTGACCATTTAGTTGATTAATAGCCTAGGACCCTGTACAGCTTGGCACATAGGCATTCAGGGCCCAAACCAATCAGTTTGAATGTAACCCCCTCTTTAGGAATGACCTATCACTCCAGCCCGACCTGTTCCCGCCAATGAATGTACTAATCAAATCTAAGAATTGTTGTTTGATTTTCCC